GACAGTGTGGACAGTGGAGGCTGGTGGAGCGGATGCAGGTTGGTGCTCCAGGCACTGGTTCGTCAGTCTCTGTGCAATGGATTCGCAAGTGACCGACCAGACCGATTCGTGAGGTGGAGTTTCAATCCCATGGAGGACAGGTGCAGTTCTGGTCATCAGCATTGGTGTCGACGGTTGTGGTGCTGGTGTTTGTTGTTGTGTCAGGATTGTGGGTAGTGATGATGTGCGTGACAGGCGCCACAGCGAAAACCGTTGGGGCAGCAGAGGCTGAATAGGAGAGGAGGAGGAAAAGGAGGAGGAGGATGGAAGTGGTTGTTCGGGAGGGCGGTTAGAAATAATTGACGGCGTAGAAGGTGAGCTGAAAGACGACGGTTAGTGCAGTCCAAGTGGTGCAGTTGATCCGAAGGTGTCCAACAAATCCACTTGGTGCACAGGATATCCGCGGACACCGTGGACACGTTGGAGGCGGTTGTGCGTTGGCATTGCGAGGTGGACGCAGATGAGATTTGCGGGCTTGTCGTTTGGCTTTCGCGGCGGCAATGCGTAGATCACTCCGCCTGTCTTCACTGTCCTCCTCCGTGTCGGTCACGTGCGAGCGAGGCCTTCCCTGTTGGTTGGAGCATTTGGCAGGCATTTCAGGGAGGACTTCAGAGTATTCTTGTGGCGGCGGATTTGGCCTCCTCACCGGCGAGAACCCGTGACGACTTCTCCATAGAAGAGTAGTCTGGGTAGCCTCCCGTCGCCTATCCACACAAGATTACCGCTCCATCGCAGTTGTAGTTATCTCAGCATGGCGTTGATGCTGAGGGTTCCCGTCGGCTCTACTACATCAGTGTCCGGAATTCGGTTCTTCCATCTCAGATTCATTATGCGGCGAAGACAACTGAGGTGGAAGTGGTTGAGTCGGTGTGCCTGCTTCATGTGCACCGTTCAAGTCTCTGTCCCATACAGCGACTTCGGGAGGCTGACAGCCTCATACATCTCCAGCTTCGCGCTGAGCTGAAGACCGTGACGATTCCAAACTGTGTTTTGAAGGCGGACGAAGGTTTGGCTTGCCTACGATATCCGGCGGGCGATTTCGTCGTCGATTTTGGTGTTGCGGGAGAGGGTACTGCTTAAGTATGGGAAGTTGTCCAGCACTTGCAGTTGGGTTCCGTTCACGCTGATCTTCGGAGCATTGTGGAGAGGGGCTGTGTTGGGTGTCGGTTGATGCATAACCACCGTCTTCTCCGTGTTGATCACCAGACCGCAGGCGGCGGAGGAGAGATATATGCTCCTTTTCATTTCCGCTTCCGAGTTGGTGTTGAGGGCGCAGTCGTCGGCGAAGAGAAGCCCGTATACAGTGGTTTTGGATAGGCGCGACTGGAAGTTCATCCGTCGTTGTTTGAGGAGGTGACTATCCATACTGTAGGCGATG